ATTTATTATACATGTTTTATCTAGTGTATCTATTTCAAAATAAATACTTTTTCAAAATGAAAAGTATAATCATAAACAAATACATACATATATGTATATTTTGTTATGCTTTTCATTTATTTCATACTACTGATGATGGACGTATAATCTTTCTAGATAATGATGAATGGATGTTTTCTGTATTAAATAATTTGTTCCCTCATAAAACAAACTGTAATTATAGTAAAAATGTATTACTTTTTACTTCCAAACTTTTTGATGTTATGGACGTATGATTAATATTTAATATTGTTTATACGTACAGGAAGCTTACTTTGAAATATCTAAATATTATAGTGTGGTTCTAATTATACAAAGGAAAAATAATGTTCGTTTATATTTATGTTGAGGTAATTGCTATTTTAATTTTTAGGGTTTTAGTAAGTAAAATTTGTATCCATTTAGAACGTGATTTTAAGACACAATTATGAGATAAAAAAATATTTTTTTACGAAAATTCTTTTCAAAATATTTTCTTCAGATAAATGAACTAAAGAATACGTACAATTTCATTGACTTGAATACTAGTTCTGAAACTTAAAATTACGTTCCTGATTCTAAATTACATTGGTCCTTTCGCTCCCTTGATTTTTAGTGCATGATTATATTTAATTAAATGTTCTTGAATCGATATGTGATTCTAAAATGCGTTTTAAACAATAATTTAAATAAACAAATGCCACCCTAATTTTTTACTTTTGTATAACAAGAAACTAAATTCGAAATGAATACTAAAGTAATGATGCACTTTCTCATAATCAGCTTTTTTAATAGGAAAAGTTTATAATTATGTTATAATAATACTAATAAAAAAATTTTGGATTTATTTATATCACTACATACATATAATTATTGTGTCAACTAAAATAAATTATTAGATATTAAATTTTATTAATACGAAACTTATGATACGTTATTGTAATATTTAGTGGAATATTTAATTTCTTCTAAAATGATTTTGTTTTCATCACCGTATTAATTTTGACATTTTAACATTTGCATGGCAATGATGTGGTCTATATATCACCGTCCGACAAAAAGAGAAAAAAAATCGTTAGACACGAACAGGACGATATACATCTGCAACTATAAATATAATGCAGAAAAACTGCTTTTTTCATTTCGTGATCCTGTGTCCTATTTAAAGGACTTCAAAGTTTTAAAAAGTACATTTTTCAAAAAATATTTTAAAATACTTGTATTGATCAAACAATGTCAAATTTGATGTCAACAGTTCCAATTGTAATCATATTGTTATTTACTAAGCTCGAATTAATTTCTCTCTAGTGAAAAGTCAAATTAGATTACTTCTGTGCAGTCAAGAAAATTTGTAGTAATCACTTATTAAGTAAGAGACAACTTGTTGATATGCTTACATACATATGTATGTAAATCCACATATGAGATTATGATTTATGACACAATTTTAAACTCATTTAATGTTATGCATACATATGTATGTAGTATACATATAATTAAAGCAAGATCGCCTTTCGGCATACATACGTATTTAAAGTTTTCATTCGAAACCGACAAAAGTTTTATACATTAAATTGCGTGATTTTTTCTTTTTAGAAAAAAAATGTCAAAATTTTTATTTAAGTCCAACCCATGTCACACACTTATTTAGGTTTTCCTCTTTGTAGTATGTGTATATAAAATGCCATTCTAATACTTTACCATAATAAAAAGGGTTATATGTTTTGAGGTCATTATAATTGTTGATATTTGTTCGTCGAGGACGAATATAATTGATGTTGTCTGGTCATGTTTTTGTTGAAAAGGGCTACAAAAATAAACAATAAAGGCTCTATATAAAGCTCAGACTTAAATCCTTAGTATAGTTGGATATAATTTAACAATTTATTTCTTATTTCAAATCTATTTTACTTAAATGTTGTTATTTTTCAAACAAAAAATGTCCAAAAAATACAATATACATACATATGTATGTATGTATATACTTAAGTGGTAGTGAATTGAGTTGTAGGCAAAAATGCCTTTTTCTTCAATATCAATAGAATAATCTTAGGTTTTAAGATTAATGTTGGTTTTTACTACAAGAAAAGTAAATAGTTCAACACTATGAAAAGAAAATAAATGAAATAAAAATAATGATGTTTTTTTACAAATGGTTGTAACATTTTTTAAAATGTTTTATCCCCTTGGCAAATTAAAGAATAACATTGAAAACTTTAAAATAAAATAAGTTTCAGACTTAAAAATATTTATGAGCTGCAGTGTAATTTGTAGTTCGATGCTGTGACAAAAACACAACATATTCATTTGATAAAACATATTAATTTGATAAAAGTTTGTAACCAGAAATATTAAGCATTGATTTTTGCTCTCTGAAAGATTTATTAAAGACAGTAAACGTTTACGTTGCATTATCGTATATTTCAATGTCTCATGCAATATAGAAAAACTACATTTGATATTTGCAAATAAAACTATAATCCTTGTGTACATTCTATTTGAAACACATAATGCAAGAGAGAGTATTATGTAGATCTACACAAGCATTAAAATGCCACAGGAAGTATAAAACAGTGCATTATTTAACCCATTAATGCCCACGGCGGTCTACGTAAGTTAGAAATGTGAAATTTGGGCATGACAATTTACTTGTGTATATAAACCGATTTTAAATAAAAACATTTTTCTATCTTCCCTTTTTGGATTTAAGGGATTTAAGAAGACGTTACATCATCGTAACAGTGGGCATTACCCACGAATTAAGTATTTTAAGTAAAAGTTACATCTTTTTACAAAAAATCGTAAAAAACTGAAAAATTATTAAGTTTTAAGCTTGGATTAGCTAATTTGGTGTATCATACAACATTATTTTATAAAAAATAAAAAATAATTTAAAAGCAAAAAATTTTAATTCGTGAAATTTTGTAATTTATGTAATGTAAATTCATGAATTTAAAGAAATTTGTATATTTCTTACAAAAGCAGTTATATTGATTAACATTAAACATTTTGCATAAATTTACAAAAGGTCCTTGACGCTAGAATCCTTGTAATTTCCTTCATAACCCAAGAAAATGGTCATAATGCTTTATGAAGGATAAAACTATGTATTTAAGATTCACCAACTGTGCCTTGAGCAAGTTTTAATGCGTTCAAATAGCATATCCTTTACAGAAATCCTTAAAAAAATTTTAAAATATCCACGAAAGGGAGATTTATTATATCTTTAATGTAAATGTTTCTATTACATTTACATTAAAAATATATTGCTTTTCATCAAATATCAATATTTCAAGAAAATATATTTCCTCTGATAAAAAATTATTTTTGGGTCAGATTTCATAAAAAAGTAAGCAAGTGTTCATTATTTATATCGTATGTAGAGGGGTACAAAAAGTACTGAGAACTGCCCACTGTTACATAAATATACGTAACACCTTTATTATCCTTCTTATAAGTCTCCGCAAGGACTATACCATGTCCTATAACAATTAGGTAATAAACTTTAATTACTTCTTTATAAGTTTACGTCAAAAACTTTTTTTTAAAAATAACTACATAGAAGTTATTAACATTATAAGAATTCATTCCTCGAAAAATAGACACTTTACAAAATAACCCAAAAATACAATCCTATAAGCAAACATTACCCAAATTCGATTTCTAAACGTTAAGAACATGTTAAGTTAACCTATCTATCAGAAAAAAGTAACTTTGCATTTTCCATTTCTGTGCATTTCGAGTCCAAATTCGAATTAATTTGCGTTACATATATTTTACATGTGTGCATTAATAGGTTAAGAATTAAGACAATTTTACAGCAAAACAAATTATTTCGAGGAGGACGAAGATATCCAAACATGGCACAAACATTACAGGGTTAAAAAATTATTCTTAAGTTCTGTATTTCCTTAAAAAAAGTTTAATTCTATCTTTCTGATTGAATTTGGATCTAACAAATAAAAGTATGTTAAGGAAATAGCAGGAAATTAAAGCTGTTTGAAATAAAATTTCAAAGGGTAATTTCAAAAAATACTATAGTTTTAATACAAGGATAAATGTATTCAAAATTGTCCTTGAGTGAAGGATATCTTAAAAAAGTTACCATCCATTTTTTGTAATCCTTCACCAAAAGTAGCTTATAGTGTCATTAGCAAAATATAAAAAAATCAAAGCGGGACAATAAATCTCAAGAAAATCAGCTTTTAGTAAAATTACTCACATCATTTCCATACAAGTTTTATTGTGTTCATGTGGTTTGTTTTTGGCATCTAAATATCGAATTTTTACTTCTTCTAAAAATAAGATTAAATGTAGTTCAAATGTGTCAAACATTAATAACATTCCTCCAATGACACGCTAATGTTAAATTCATAGGTTTCGCACCCGAATTTGAAGCACTTCGGGTCACTACATAGTTATAATGAAAATACTACATGTTTTTCAACAATTTTTTTGCTTGGTAATAGTAATTAGTAAACCACTACCTCACTGTCTTGGATACGCAAACAAAATTTATATATTTAATAAGAAAAAATCCGAGACCATGTGTTTATTTTAGAATAAGAATTCAATGTTCATAATTTACCTTGCATCTTAGTATCTTTTACATAAATAAATTTTGTATACTTATACTGATTTTAAAATCTCTTTTAAAAATCCGAGCCCATGTCTTACCAAGTTATTGCAATAAGCTTTTCATATGTTATAAAAATATGGATTTACAAATATCGGCCTACATCATATGATTGAGTTGATTTTATATTATGTATGTTGGACATTAGTACATAATTTATCCCTTCCAAAAACAATTAAAATATACTAATAGCCAATCCCATCCCTGACTATTTTATAAACAGTTTTACATAAAAACATGCTTAAAACTAAAGTAAAAGGAATGACAATGAGCAAGCATGAAAAGGGGAAAATAGGAGGGTGAAAAAATAAAAAATACATCAAATAAATTCAAGTAAAATATTTACCCAAAGGATCCACACGGTAAATAACTTCTGGTAAGACAGGATTCAGTGTGCAAATAAAAAATATCCAAAATGTTAGCCAAACGGAGAGCATATGATGCCAGTTGTGATGCAGCAAGTGTTGGACTGTCTTTCCGGGATGATACTTTGTCGCCATATTGCACTCGCAATTCTTGCTGTTATTGTTGGTGTTGTTGTCGTAGACGAAACCAACAACATTAACAGCAACACCAATATATACTGTAAGCTGCTCGTACAATCGTTGTCGTTGGTTCTACTTTTCTCTTTCACAATGATGCTGCTGATGTTGACGTAGTGATGTTTTTGTTGTTGCTGATACTTTGTTGTTGTATATTGTTTTGATTTCTTTTGGTAGTGGTAGTTGCAGTTGTTATTGTATTTTTGAGTTTGTTGCCGTTTTTGTTGTAGTTATTGTTGTTGAAGTAGCTTTTGTTTATTTTTTATGCTTTTTAATTTTTGTAGCTTTTATTTTAGTTGAAACTTTTTGCAACCGTTAATATTATTGTTGTTGTTGTAGTGGGAATTGTTGTTGTTTTTTATTCTATTTTCTCCTGTATACATTGTTATTTCATTTCTCATTCACATTATACAGTTTCTGTTGTTGTTGTGTAAATGTTTCTGTTTTTGCATTTATTTTTTTTTTAATTGTAATAATATTTATAAAACAATTCTACATTGCATACGTTTCGCATTAAAGTCTGAGGGAGAAAGGAGAAGTGAGTAAATGAATGCAAAAGTTGGGTTGTGTGAATGTTTGAATTTTAATTAAAGCTAAATATTAAATTCGTTTAAAAATTGTATTGTAACAGCAACAGCAATAACAACAATAACACAGTACATACTTGTACATATTATTATTGTTATTACTTTTCAATTAAAAAGTTTTAAACGCTACTAATTAAAATATTTGTTCATAATTAATTGACCATAGTAATCAATTCCTTGTTTTTGTGAATGTGTATCTATCTACTTATGTGTATGTTTATACATATATTTAAATTTCCTTTTTTCTATTTTTTAGTCGTTGTTGTGTATATCTGTGGTTGAGTATGCAAATATTATTAATTTTTAATAAAATTTATGATTTTAGATAATTTGCATAAATATTTTTGTATTCTCATTTAAAATGTGTTTATAAATAAAATGCTAAGAAAAAAATGTTTAATACCAGTATTTAAGTTTTAGGTCGGTGTTAGTGTATTTAATTACACATTAATATATACATATGTACGTATTATTTGAATTTGCGTGTGTGAGTGTGTTTGTGTGAGAGACGTAGGCTTATTGTATACTAATAATATGTGTATTTCTAATTAATACATTAATTAATTAGTAGTTAGTTTTTGGTTGGGGTTTTCAATTTCATGTCATGGTATATAATTAATGGGCTAAAATATAATAAAAATCATATAGTTTTTAATTATACATACATCGAATCATTCATGTGCCACACCTTCCTATGTAAATATTTCAAGTACAATTTGGCCTAATTAAAGGTAAAAAGATTACATTTTATATTTTACAATTATGCAAAATATATATACATACATGATTGAAATTAAAATTAAAGTTTTTCAAAGATATTTTTATACTTAAACAAATAAGCTCCTTGCATTTACATATCCCGAAATATGGTCCTTATTTTATCGAAAATGTTTTTTGTTCGAATAAATTTTTAAGAGTAAAATTATGTTATTTTAATACCTAAATAAGCAAAACATTGACGAAGTAATTTAAAGTAATTTCAGTTCCTATAAATTTTATAGTATAAAACTACCGTAATTTGGAAGAAATTTTGTGCCATAAATGAGCGTTAAAGTCATTTTCATCATCATTTTCGAATTTCATCGCCTAATTCGTAATTTTAAGTAACTAATGAGTTTTAAAGTAATTTTCTGAAGTGGTTATTTATCAAACCATCTTCATCAAAGTCGGTAGGAAGATTTCAGTTCCCACAAAACTTGTTCGTGTTGAATTTCATATATCTGCTCGTATTTCAATGCCAGTAATGAGCGTTAAAGGCGCCCATATACAGAGGGTGGGGTCACTTATGGAAGGATCGGTCCTCCTAAAATTTAGAGCGATTCGTTCGTACAAATATTGTTTATGTAGCATTTTTGAGCCAGTAATGAGCGTTAAAGTCATTTTCTAAAGGGGACCTTATAAAATGATATATCCTTATAAATATCTGAAGAGGACATTTTTGCTCATACATTACTGTAGTCGTATTTGAGCGTTACAGACAGTTATGAGCGTTACAGTAATATTCTGAAAGGAACCTTATATGGGTGGCTCAATTATAGACCGATCCCCATAATGTGCGTTAAAGTCATTTTCTGAATAAAACATATTCTCATAAAATATATTTGTGACGAATTTCACCGCTATAGATGCTTCTTTTAGCCAGCTATGAGTGATAAAGTAATTTTCTGAAGGGTCCTTATATGGGGGCTAGGCGAAATCGTGGACCGATATTGCCCATTTTCAATACCAAACAAACTGCATCAACTAAAAGTATCTATGCAAAATTTCAGTTCGCTCCATTTGGTCTCTATCGTATTTTTAACAGACAGATGGACATAGCTAGATCGTCTTAGAATCTAATAAGAACTCATAATATATATACTAGGGTGGGTCGAAAATAGGCTTTTCGCTCGGATCAACTTCTAATAGTGAAATTATGTTGTATTTTAACGTCAAATAGAAGACTGTAAAATATTATTCAATTATTTTGAGGGTAAGAGCCCGCGCATCGCCGCCAAAGTTTGTAAATGCGTTTATATGGGAAAAATGGCACTTTTTTTTTCAAAACTAACAAAAATTTTATTATATTTACTTTTATATGTCTTTAGAATCACAAAATTCTCGGGGAAATTTTAATAACTCAAAACTTTTTAACGAATTTTGAGTTTTTCCATCTTTTTGGAAAGACAATGTTGTATACATTACGATTTTGCTATAAAATGGTGCAATAATTAATACTTAAAGCCTCATTTTGTGAAAAAACTCCAAAAGGTGCCATTTTTCCCTTATAAACGCATTTACAAACTTTGGCGGCGATGCGCGGGCTCTTACCCTCAAAATAACTGAATAATATTTTACAGTCTACCATTTGACGATAAAATACAACATAATTTCACTATTAGAAGTTGATCCGAGAGAAAAGCCTATTTTCGACCCACCCTAATATATACCTTTATATTTCAATGTGTTACAGACGTTAAAATTTCTGAAAAACAAGCAAAATTCGATACTTGTTGACAAAATCGATGATAGGCGATATAAAATGAAACATTTTTGGCTTTAACGTTTTCTTCTTGAAGCTGTTGAGATTTTCGGGGCCTAGATATCTAAATATCTTGAACTTTTGTTTGCTAAGTCTACGTTTGAAATGTTTTGATGCAGTTTTCCGCCTCTATTAGTAAAACTTCAGTGAGAGATAATACCAATATTACATAGTGGGTTGATTTAGGCAATTTATTTTATATATATTTTCAAGGCTGTACCCAAGGGAACCCATTTCACTCATTTTCATTTTCCTTTGAAGTCGATTTTCAAATTTTAATGATTTTTACATTTTTAGTTTCAAAATTTTCCAAAAAATATGATATTGACGGTCTAACTAAATTTATTTATCCTAATAAGATTTTAGCACAAAAGTAACAAAATACTAGTAAGAAATAATAGACGCACAGTGGTATAGGAAAAAAAAGAGGGAAATAATTCGGTAACTTTTAAACGGTTAATTCGATTTTAATGAAATTTGGTATGCACAAAGAGGAGGTGTTGTCGAGTTTAGGTTTTGAATTTGGACTTTATAGGCCAACCACGGGCCCGGCGGGGGGTCCTCAAATTAGGACACCTCGGCTATGCTAAATTTTTAAAACGATCCTATTTCTTCATTTGAGTTCCGATTTAAAAACAATTTCGTATATAGAATCTCCTCATCGAGCACTATAAAAAGCAGTAAATTATCTCTTATATTTTAGGAGATATTCGCATTTGAAAATTAAAATTTTAAAATTTTTACCGTCCTTACTTTAGTTTTTTGATAATAGCGGGTCCAAATATTCCCGATTTTTTTTATTCGCTTAACAACAAGTTTATATATCAAGCAGTGAAAGAATTATGTAAAAATCATGACTGAGTCCAAAGTTATAGGCATTTTAATTTAAAAAATTAAAAAAGGCGATTTTTTGCCATTTTTTGGGAAAAAAGTATCTTTTTCTTTTAAGTTATCTAAAAAGTTTTTAAGAAGATGTATATAGAATTTATACTTTTTGGAAAGCTGACTTAAATAAAATACGATAAATGAAACAAAACCTAAACATTTTTGATACCGAGGGGACTAGGTCCATCCAAAAAAACCCTATTTTTTATGGAAAATTCAATTTTGAGCAAAAATTCTCAAATCGCGTAGTCGATATCAAATTATAGTGACCTGTTTTATATGACCCAATAGGTTCTTAATCATTTTGTAACGGGTTTCGATAACCCCGCCCCTGGTATGGATATAATAAGCAAAAAATCAAAAAATCCCATTTTTGGGATTTTTTAAAACTTTTTTGGGAATTGCGGGATTTCTAATAAAAAAAATTTCATCAAAAAATATTCATAAATAAAATTTTTATTGCAATTTAAAAAATTTGTATCTTCGCAAAAACTGAATAAAAAAATTTTTTTAATTTTTTTTTTTAAAAAGTCTTCCGCGAATTTTTTAATTTTTTTTAAAAATTATATACAGTTTTGAAAAATAGACAAAATTACCTTTCCATTGATATATAACATGCCTATCTAATGTTTTTTAAGTGACAAATTAATTAGGGAAAACTCAACATTTTTTAGAGAATTTACCTAGTACTCAAATGAAGAAATAGGATCGTTTTAAAAATTTAACATAGCCGAAGTGTCCTAATTTGAGGACCCCCGCCGGGCCCCTGGTTGGCCTATAAGGTCCAAATTCAAAACCTAAACTCGACAACACCTCCTCTTTGTGCATACCAAATTTCATTAAAATCGGAAAACCGTTTAGAAGTTACCGAATTATTTCCCTCTTTTTTTTTTCCTATACCACTGTGAGACGGTCATAGCCAACCACATCATAACATAAACCAGCTACGATTACCTTTAAAGAGATTTGTTCGGAAGCTGTTGAATCTACCGATTAAATACATATGCAGACATACACGTACATATGTATAAACATATATCAAAAATGTCTTAAATAAAATATATTTGTATAAAATGAGGAAAATTTTGAATTCTTTCTTCATTTTGAAATGACTTTTAATTATTGGTTTTCAAAATATTATAGAGTGCAAAAGTGGAACACTTTCCAACTATGTATGTTTATTCGTAAATATTTTCCTAAAGAGGACTGGTACAAATAAGTTAGAGTGCTACATTCGGCTATGCCGAATCTAAAATACCCTCCACCAGCAAGCTACTTTTTATTAAAACCCATTTAACTATCTAATTTTTAGATAAATTGACAAAATTTTTGTTTCCGTAGTGACGGTACTAACATTTTTGCATATGTCAAACTAATTTTGATTAGGTCCAGAAAAATGCATTTTAATAGGACAGTTCTAAAACATTTTAATAGAATGATTTATCTATACACAGAGCATACTTATGTCGAATTTTATCTGGATATAATCATTTAATAATGAATTAAGAGGTACTAAGTGACTTCCAG